GGGGGGGGGGGGGGGGGGAATAAAGATATAGAATCATTGTAGCAACTTTAGACACTGGTTTACATTGTAAACTTTTTATTGATAATAAAACAAATATAAAAAGTGGTAGGAGGGGGGTAGGGGGGGGACTTCAGCAAAATAATAACCCAGAAAATTTTCTGCATTCTTTAGACACATTTTAGTAGACAGTTGGTCATCTAAATACCTAGCTATCAGATCATCTAGAAAATTGCAAAAGATATTCTCTGTGTCTGAGACTGTTTGTTAAATGTTAGCTTGTCTATTTTTTTGTCTAGCAATGAGTGTGAGAAATTTGAAATTGATTTTGAAAAATTAAATTGGATTTTGATTGAATTTCAGTTCACTTGAGAGTTGTTTTTGAAATCATAGACCATCTGTCTGCATGTATTGCTGTCTGTCTAATCGTCTGTCATTCTACCAGATTAGCTGTGTTATCTAAAAGGTCCAATTGTCTTACTTAACATTCTAGCTATCCTTTTTAACAACCTAGCTGTTAACATTCTAACAGTTTATCTTTCAATATTAGACCAGTCTAGCTGTCAATATTCTAGCATAGCTGTCAACATTAAAGCATAGAAGCTATCTAAACTTCTAGCTGTCAATTATCTTACATCTAGCTGTCAACATTACAACAGTTTAGCCGTCAACATTACTACAGTCTAGCTGTCAACATTCTAACATGTTAATAATCTGCTCGCTTGTCTGTCATTTGTCTATGTCTGTCAATGTCTGCCTGTCAGAATGTCTGTCAGACCTCGAAAGAAAAGAGATTTAGATTAAAATACTGTAAATAGATTGAGTTCTTATTGGTTCTTGGTCGGGGGTTCTTTTTCTCCTTAAATATATGTTTTAACTTTTATTTTTAACTAACTGTGTTTATTATGTGTATTATTTTTTATCTCTTGCCTTGTTTTGGTAAAGAAAACTTTTTTCAAATTTATTATGAAGGAATTGTAAGCAATATTTTAAGCGACCCTGCATGCAAAGATGGCAATGCCCGATTCACAACGGTACACTTAAAATCTTTTTTCTGATAAAGTATGAATAATAATTTATAATGTTAAAAACTGATCATTATTCAATTGTGGTTTCTCTATAAATTACGTTTTTATAAAAACAAACCAAACAGAAAGAACATAGTTATTAGAATATTTTATTATCTGATTCAATCTTCTTTAAATCTTAACATGAGTAACTTTTTTTCAAGGTTAATTTAATCTGGTATTGAACCAAAGCCACCCATTTTATAAGAACTAAATAATTTAAATATAAGAAAATGTCCACCCCCCCCCCTTGTTTTACTATTTGTACAAAGTATTGCAGTACACTTGTAAAACTAAACTAATAAAAACAAAAAGAAACAAAAAATTAAAAGGAGTCAGTCACATCAAACTTTTCTCAAGTCTTCAATGATTAGTTATTTCCCCTTATTGTTTTTTTAAGGTTTACGGTTTAAAAAAGAATTTATGATTTCACTAGCTTTGAAACCCAGCTTTGCCTGAAAACTGAACTTTCTCTATGAAACTTTCAAAGCAAGCGGAGAACAACGTGTTCTACTGAGGGGTTTAGGGGTTATGATCAGACAGAGATTACTACTATATATACATTTTAGTGTGGAAGAATTGATGTAATTCAATTTCTCACAAAATGTTTCATTTAAAACTAAATTGAATTTGGATTGTATTTAAGTTTTATTTTAACAGCATTTCATTTCAGTTGTTCTACACATTTTTATCAATTCATTCTATCTATTCACTCTCAGTGGGGGTCTTATGTAAACAAATAAAAAGTTTCTTTGTCTGTTTTATGGGGTTTCATTTTTACCTTTCCCCTTAGAACTTTTCCAAATTCAATTTCTGAAAGTGAACAATATATATTAAGGTGCGAGCATAAAACCACTTGAGTTCCTTAAAAGGATCCGGGTTTGAAACGGGCTTAGCTTCCAGTGAAACAGACCGGTGTCACGTTAAAAATCGCCCGCGGGCTCGAGTTTATACCCGGTCTTACTCTATTTCGGTCTTAAACACTAAATTTCAAAATATTTAAAAAGATACTTTTTTACGACTATTTTGCATATTTTTCACATTTGCAAGGAATAGAATAGAAGTTAAAATATCCATGTTTTTAATTCATTAAAAGGAGGACGATATTCGAGACAGAATACCACATCTTTTCTGGTATTGCTACATATGATTTATAAACTTATTTAAATACATTTTTATGTTCAGCTGGTGTTTATCATTGCATTGATTAAGAAGTGTAACAACTGTCCGAGCGCAATATTACACCGGACGCTTTTTAACGTGACACCGGGTTCGGTTTTTGTATCTTCATCTTGCGGTTTATTTAACCCTAGCTCTCACCAACCCTATTATTCACTCATATTTACGGTTTGATCTTAATCCGCGAAAAGACCGCCCGCCGTCATGATACG